TGGGCAAACAAATTAGTCTCTAGATGTGTGAAGCCAAAAGATTTGAAGCAGCAAGAAAAGGTTAAAGGTGATTCAACACAGCGTTAGCTAAGAGGGAGCTGAATATAAGCGCTCGCGTCTTCCAGATTTGTATGTTGAAAATATCCACGTACCCATTTCACCCAACTGTTTGTACAATGTGGAAAAAATGTTCAGTGGTATGGACACTTGTGCTCAGTGCTGCATTTGGTGTTTTGAGGCTATAGCTGAGTTAGTGCTCCTCCAATTATTTAATGTGTTTAATGCTGTCAGATTCCAGCGCTCACACTGGGTGTTTTGTGGTTTGCTAATGGGACCATATCTGGGTGCAGGAAGCGCTTTCGTGTTTGTTTGTTTATTTGGATGTTCTTCTGTGTTTGCGTTGTTCTGTTCCGATGTGTCCGTTGAAGCCATTAAGGAATCAGACCGCAAGCACTTTCGTTGTCTTTCTGCTGTGTTCGCTTCTCTGGAGGGCCCGGCCTCTGTAATGCAATGTTCTCATTATTCTGTCTCAGCCTGCAGAGCTAGAAAGGAACCGACATTTTCTTTCCATTTTTTTTTTTTTATTACATAGGTGGACAGTAAACAGGGAAAGAAGAAAGGGGATGGGTGCAGAGGAGCCTCTGCTGAATAGGTAGAGGGTTAGGTAGATCAACAATGCAGAGCAGAAAGGAGAAATTAATTTGAGCTGTGGAAGAACAGGAGTCGACCCCGTGCTCCTTATAGGAAGAAAGGAAGTGTCACCCAGATAAAGTCACTGTTTTCCTCTCTGCTTATCTTTTTATAAGCATCTTATATTTTTCAAAGCCGTAACTAAGGGGATGTTTATAACACCCCAAAGTCCGCTGCTGGAGATTTTTGTGGACAATTTTGACCTACTAATACTGATTTTAATTTCAGTCGTAAACACTTAAAGTAAATTTCTGCTTCTCCTGCTGTAAGGGGCCACTAATTATTTGTATCCGGAGCAGAGGGTCCAAATAAAATGAGCTGGGATAGTTTAGGAAAAATTCTTGTATAAAGATTAATAGGCAGAAATAACTGCCTAACTTTACTTTAAAAAAAAAAAACAAACACCTGATATTATCAAGTAGGTTCGTGCATAACAGAATTATTTGAAGCAGAGCACTTCAGTGAAGAAATATGATGATTTTAAACCTTCCTCACCCAAGTCCCAACTTAAAAGGTTTACTTCCGTTTCCTTAGAGGCCATTGTTTTATGTTTTCAAAGCCCTCTGAGCTGCATAATGCAGCAGTTTCACTTGGCTGCCTTTAGGTGTTATCTTAAGGTTTTTTTTTTGTTGTTTTTTTTTTAGAAACCATTCAAAGCATATCAAGCTTTTCTGGTTTTAATAATATCATGGCTTTTTCACACTTCATATGCTTCCAGTCAAAATCTTTGCAGCTGCCACAAACTTATATTAAATTGTGCATTTGTCTGATAATTGCCTCAGCACTCCATTATAAACACTCAGGTGTATATTTATATACTGTGGTACACTGCTGTTAGGTTTTCCAGTTCTTGTACCAATGTTGACCTAAAATTGAAAATGCTTAAACCCCAAAGTTTAAAATCACCAGATATGAAAAGCTGCACTGATAGCAGCCTGGATGTCAGTCTTTAACTGTATTGCAAACAGTTAAAGGAATTTGAAGGGTTGAATGCTTTATTTATTTATTTATTTAATTTTTTATCAGTGACTAGGGCTTAAGGGTGGAGTAGCATCATCTGTAAGTATTGAGCATGGTGGGGTCAGAGAATAATGGGACTCAGAACTTCTGAAGGCAAACTGCGTGCAAGTATGCATGAGAGTGACTGACTGCGAATGATAAACACAGAAACAATGGAGACCTGTGAAGAAACAAGAAAAGCCTATCATTGTGGTGGAGAACAGAGTGTAGGCACTCAAAGACAGACAAAACGTCTTTGGAGTGAGACGTCTGAACTCACACTGGGCTAAACAACTGAGCGCTCACTATTTCATAATCCCCTTTTACATTTGAATCAGAAGCCAGCACCTGCTGGGATTCTCTGTGGCTCGTCCCTCTATTAAAAGCCAGCAAATCTCTCACCTTGACGCATTCCAGATTTAGACTGCAGGGCTGCAGTCACAGGGCACTGAACTGAGTCACTACCTCAGGGAAGATTTATGTGAAGTATCTAGTTACACAAATGTTTCACCTGAAAAAGCTCTATTTCATAGCTACACTGAGAAGGTTTAAAAGAATATAGCAATGAGGATATGCAAAGGAAAACATGTAGGTAAAAGGCTCTTCTTAAAGGTGTTTTTTTTTATTGATGTCAGATGATGAGTGTTACATTAAAGCCTGCCATTTATCTGCTTTCCCTTTAATTAATATTATGTATAAAGCACAGAAGAACTAATGTCAGAATTAGATAAAAAGTTGCATAAAACAAGAGTGTGCTCACTCAAGCAGCAAGGATTTGAAGCTTTCGTCTATAATTCATCCCTAACAGATTTGTGTGATTGAATTCTCAGGATGGGGAATGTTTTTCCATTGATTCATCAGGATCTCATTTTTTTTAAGATGACAAAAAGCCTGGGAGTTTTGACAGCAACGCGTGCACTTTAGAAACTCGTTGTGTGCGTTTATATGTGTGTTAAAGAGCAGAGCTGAGAACCTCAGAATGTTACCGTATAGCAGTGGGATCTCAGATCAAGGCCTCTCCATCTTGTTAAAGCCAGAGCAGTGCTGACTCTGTTCTTCTCCCTCTCTTTATTTGAAGTCCTTTTAGCCACAGAGAGCAGTTTCTAAGGAGCCCCCCCCCCCCCCCCAAAAAAAAAAAAAAGTTGCCTCCAGCAGCTCACAACAGACCCTCAATCTGCTCTCCAGCTTTTATATTGCAACCCTTTTTACAAAATTCAACATGTGGCTATTATCTTCAGCGGAAAAGGGTACAAACAACATTCAGTCCCATACCAGATGACTCTGGCTGGAGGAGTCTCCCGGCTTTATTTGCTGAATCTCAGACTGCTGCTGTGTGAGTAAGAAGTCCTCAGAAACAGGCTTAAAAACAAGTTTATCAACTGAAGCATCTGGCACAGGAACTCTGAAACCCACAAGAGTGCCCGCCTGCAAATAAAAAGAGGTACAATAAATCTTGTGTACCTGTCAGCAGGGCGACTTGCACCACATTTTCAGTTCCGCTGCATGTGGACCTGAATTCGGCTCTCTCTTCAGAAGTTCTACACACTTCCTCTCAGAAAGTCAGGAATTGTCAATAATAGTTTGCAAGATTGTGTCTGAATGTTGCCTGTGTGCTTATGGCAAACGGAAGCACGTTTCTTGGTCTTAGTGATTATAAAGTGTCCAAAGTGCAGTTATTTACTCAATACCTTGGTTGTATTGTAAATGAGGAAAAAGAAAAGGCTATAATTTTAGAACAGCCATGGTAACACATATTATGTCTCAGAGATGAATATTTGGACCCTTTTCTTATTTTGTTGTACAGGATTCATTTTCTTCCATTTCATGCAGCAACCGCAGCATGTGTCTTATCAAATTTTTGCTGATGATAAACTGATTTACATATCCCTCCAAATCCTGATAATGTCACATACAGAGCTCACTGCCCTACACTGGCGCTCCGCAGAGATTAGAAACTAAAAACAATATTCTCTAGCGAAATGACAATAAAACAGATGCTGTCATTTTTTTCCCCCAAAAGACATCCCCCCCCCAAAATAAAATCCAATAATATTGCCCAGTCCTATAGAATCTTAGGGATTACTATAAAAAACTCTACTAAAATAATATCTAGATGTCCTCTTAGATTTTATTTAACAAATCAATTATTGGGAAGCTTTTGCTACAAACTGCTATTCATGGTTTTGTTCAGTAACAAAGCTATCCAGAGCTATCGTTATTCCTTCTTAAGCAGAGAGTCAGTTTCAGGCTTACAGATGCTTCAAAGTTTAACTGACAGGAAGCTTAATGAGCTCCTTTCCCAGCTCGTATTACCCGAGTCCTCGTGTACCTTCACCAGCTGCCAGTTGCTTTATCGATTATTTACAGACAATTTATTAGATCGATATAAGAACTTTGTGGCCGATTCCTAATCTGTGATTTTGTAAAGTTCCGACCTGCCAGTATACTGTCATATTTATTTTTTATTTTTATTTTTTACATGATTCTGATTTCTCTCCAAGAACTATAACATTGCATGTATTTTTTTCACCTTCCTGTGTAAGTGATGATTAATTATTTATTCTCTGATGCAAAGTAATGCACTGCATAATAAAGAGTAGTTGCTGTAAAATATGGTTTTAGTAACTGCAAGCAGCAATGTCTGTGTCTACCAAAGAGGAATGCAGATCCATCTCTTAAATGTGACATATCCAGCATTTCCAAATCCAGTATGTTTTATGACTAAACTTCCACACCAAGAGTTGTTTTTTTTAATTTATTTTGTTAGTATGGCCTGATTATTGCTTTTATTTACTCTTAAGAATTACACTCCTTTAGCTCAAATTACCTTCAACGTTCCATGTGCAACTACAAAGTTCTGCAGTATATTTTTTTATATTAAAATGTTTTATTTTTGTGAATAAAAGGTTAGTTAACCGAATTCCTTTTATTTAATAAATCACACAAAGTCAAAAGACATGTGTCCAAAAGAACCAGTGTAATTATTTATATTTTAAAACCTAAAATATGTGTATCATTTTACGTTTATCCTAGAGTGAAAATCTTGCAATGACATGTTCGAATTTCTTGTAAAAAATAATCCAAATTCCTGCCAAAGATTTAAAAGTTAACGCATGTGAGTGAGGATGATGAGCAGCTAGTTTCAAACCAGCTCTTTATAATACCGCAAACACGTATTGCTACAACAGTATACAATGCAGTAGCATGTGTGGTTTTGTTTCCTAGATAGCCACATGCCTATTTTATGAGGCAATATCTATGTTTTAAAATTAATTCCTGGTTCTCTGTCTTTGTAATGCTTTCTCCCAAAGGAAGTTGAGGTTTGTATGATGATTATTTTTGGTATTCTGCATTGAAAGACCTATATCGTTGTGCTTGTAGTGAACAGTAATACCTTCTCAGAATATTCTCTGAATATTTTTTTTTTTTCTGATTATGTTTATTGACTAACTGTGTTTCAGGAGCCTGGAACATGGACTCCATCCAAGCCCTTCGATCAAGGTGGGTGAGAATGAGAAAGAGCAAAGCCCGGGGTGTTTTAGTTATGTAATAAAATAATGAAAAAAAACAAAGAAAAAAGAAAAGGAAAATACTCCAAGAGCGGCTCTCTGACCTCTAATTGTTTCACTAACATCATTCGAGTTGCAGTTGTTATTAAATTCTCAGAATTTGAAAACAAATGTCAATTTTATAATACAAGATGTAGATGATAAACACATGTCATGAAAAAAAAGTTGGTTGGGCCCATAAATATCTTTTTTTTTTTTTTCCCCCGCAAGCATAGAATGACAAATCCATTGCAAATGGATTAGAAACAGTTTTTGATGATCATCTAAATATGTTGCGTAGATTTCTGGGTGACAGGTTAAAGATATATTTTACAACTATGATACATTGCTTCTATGCTGCCAATGAATGTATCTTAAACTTCTTACTTGAACTCCAAACTTGGTATGTCTTGGTTATAAAAAATTTTACTATAGGAAAAAAAAACAAAACTGAATATAATTAATAAACTTTCCAAGTTATTTTGTGGGTGTGATGGGTAAGACTAAAATTTAATGCTTATCTAAAGTCTTATAAATTGAGAAATTTATTACTGCAATATTGTTCCCAGAAAACAAGTCTTTTGTCCAAACAGGTGTTCGTTCAGGACAACTTTAATGTGCTCTTTAAACGAGGATTAACCAGATTAAGCTGTGTCACAACACGTCACCTTAGACATGCAGATCTTTAGCATTTGTTTCTTAACAAGTTAACTTGCTACACCCTAATGAAGTTTTCACCTGCAACAGTTTGCGCTAGTGATAATGTTTGCATGTTTTCACTCTGTTTTGACATGACTCTGATGATTTGGCTCATAACATATTTCAGTGGACTTTCCCAGTTGTTTATGAGGCTTAGCAATTGATCTTGACAGATTTATAGACTACTCTTTCAGCTGGTGCAGGATCACAATGCTCGGAATCCTAGGAATCTAAGGATTGATTAAATCAACAAAAGGACATGCATACATGCATAGCCTTTTAATACAGTCTTACAAACCTGCACACAAAAATGTCATGTTTTTTTTTTTTTTGTGTGTTTATTTTTAAATCAGCTGCTCAGGTTGTGGATGCAGATTAAGTGCAACAACATCAGGTCCTTGGGGACTGGAGAGGATGCATTCTGTTGGGCATCTTGACTCGATAGTGGTGATCGGATGGAGAAGTTCCTACGAAAAGAGAAAAACTCTCTTCTTTTAATGTCACCGAGCAGCTAAAACCAGGAGGATTTTCTATTCTTTGATCATCTCATTGCTATTTGTATTACAGACAGTGGTAATCTCCTGCGCTCATCCAGGCACACCAGGACATGAACATATCCTCTCACTTATCAGTGTATCGACAAACACATGCACACACACACACACACACACACACACACACACACACACACACACACACACACACACACACACGGACTGGGAAACAATAGCATTAGATAGTGCGTTGGAGGATTGAGGCAGGATAATCTGCCAAAGCTGCTCTGAGATTACAGTAAGGTTCTTTCGAGTAGAGGTCATTCGCAAACTGTCCTGACCGCAGCCAATGGCTTTGGATCTTGCTCTTAGGTGTGTTGCTTAAAGTTGACATTGGATCAAAAACTGTATCTACCGAGATCAAACCATCTCCCAGAGAGTCAGATGTAAAATCAGCTTATATGTATAACCCTAACCCTAACCCATGAACGACTCTCCTACGTTCAGGCTGCTGTAAGATCAAAAGTAACCTCTAAAACCAGGACCATCTGTTTTTAGCTCTAAGGATATTTAACAGTGTTACAGTATTCTGTTCAGGGCAGAGGAAACAGCTAGTAGTAACATACAAAGAAAGAGTGACTGAAATAAAATTTTTAAAAAAAACTGAAACAGATATCACATATATTCATGTTGCTTAGATCTTAAAAAGGAAAAGGAAAATGCACAGCTTAACCCGAAAGCTTTGATGCTGCGTTAAAAGAACAAAAGGAAAAGTGTATCCGTGGAGGATTTTTCCTTTTTCTTTGTTTACCCTCGCAGGCTTTTGCCGGCTGCTGTCTAGGAAACTCTGAGGTTTCAATTTGTTGCAGTGTGCACACATAGATGCATTTTACAGAGTTCTCATCATACACGACTTTGTTCTGTGTTTGTAGCTCTTGATCCAGCCAAAGACCCCTGCCTGAAGATCAAATGCAGTCGTCACAAGGTGTGTGTAGCTGAGGATTACAAGACTGCCTCATGTGTCAGCCAGAAGAGAGTTAGGTAAACACACACACATCTTCACAAGACAGAAATTTCCTTTGATTTCCATTCGTTTTTCATTCATTTCTATAGCTTAACTCTGACCTCTGACCCCAACCTTAACCATCAGCAGTACATGCCGAGCCCTAAATCTAACCTAAATTAAATTCACAACTCGGTACTAAATCTAGTCCCATTTTATGGCTTTTTTTTGTCACGCTTAAATGTTTCAGGTCTTCAATCAAATGTTAATATCAAACAAAGATAAATTGAGTAGATGGAAAAAAACCAGCATAACATTTTTCAAATGATGATTTTCTTTATCTAAGTGGGGGTATTATATATTTTTACATTTTTTATGTCTCAATCAAGTAGCTGTTACCTTCAGTTCTTATGAAAATAGATTAAATAATTATTTGAAAACAATTTTATGTTATCACATCCTCTATCTTGGTCTGGAATTCAATTTTGTTTGATGACCTGTTGACATTTTCAGTGCACTAATAAAGGAAGAACAGGAGAAATCTCCGAGGGGGAAAATACTTGTTTTGTACATTCTCTACTTTATTTCAAATGTAACATTATCTTATAAAAAGATGAAGCTCTAAAATACATATTTTTAAAAAATAAATAAAATATTAACATTAGTTGAATTTCTGCCCTATTCTTCATCACATTTCATCCCGTTCTCAATTGTACAGCATGAGCAAAGCAACTGTTTTCTTTAGTTTTTCCAGCTGGTCTCCTTGTTGCCCGGCTCTCTTGTGACTGTTGTGTGACATTACAGCTTGGTCCAGTTACCCAGGCGCTGGCACTAACTTTCAGCGGACATAAAGTGCTGCCAAGTGATATGAATGGGCTTTGTTTGTGTGTGTTTGAGTCTGGGATGCCTCAGACTGGACAGAGGACAGTAACACCACATTGACCTCATTTCCCACTCTTAGCAGCAACACAATTCCCAGGACATTAGGAGAGCAAATCAATCAAAAATAATAATAATTAAAAAAATTAAAAATAATAGTAATCATACACAAATCCCAAATCCTTGTTCAAAGTCTAAAACCATTGCGAAGAACATGACGTTATGTTGCAGATAGAAAAATGCTGACTGTGTGACAAGCGACTGGTGAAATGATCTTTTTATGTTTTTGGTTGTCACCTCCAGTTTTAAAGATGCCAATTTGCACCCGAGCGCCGGGTCGAAGTGCAAGCCGTGTCCTGTGGTTCACCCCTCGCCTGTTTGTGGAAGTGATGGCCACACCTACTCCACGAAGGTACCCTCACATTTCAGCACTCATTGGGCTTTCTGTTGCTTTTTTGTTGTTGTTGTTGTTCTGTTTTGTACACAAGGGCAACAATTTTTATTTTATATTTGGTGGAGTTGAACCACATCTGAACCAGCTTAGCATCTCTAATCCCTCTCAAGACAATACTCTGCAAATCCTTTGGGGCATTTCTCTATAAGATTCATAAAGAGGAAGACTAAGATATTTGTTCTTTCATCTTTATAAAATTGCTGAAGCGTGTCAGGACTGCATGGAGAGGATCTGTAAATCTAAATATTTATGTCGTACCACAGGTTCTCAGTTCGGTTTAGTCCTGAAGCATCATTCTAGCAGACGAATATTCTTCAACGACAAATATCCTGGCTGTATGCGAAGTCCGTTGCAGTCATTAACAAACAGGACTGGCCTGTATGTAGTTCCATCCATCTTCTAAACAACTCCGACCGGCTTCCCTGTAACTGCTGAATAAAACCTCCGAAGCATGACTCAGCCACCACTATGTTTCACAGTGGAGTGGTGGGTTCAGGGTTATGTGTAATTCAATTAAATTCAAGTCAGTTTGTTTAGGTAGCATCTTTTCACAACAAATGTCATACCAAGGCACTTTACAAGAAAGTCATTTAAAAATAATCACACATATGTCCCAATTTATCCTAGTTTTCAAACAGTTCTCTTCATTGTTCAAACTAGCTTAAAAGGTTTTCAATTATTGACTTGCAACATTCACCATTCTGGAATGAGCATGCACAGTATAGACAATAGACAATTGCTTGTGTTGTGTTTGTTGACTTTACAGCAATCCCTCATACCGAGCATGCATGTAGCGACAGTGGAGAGGAAAAACTCCAGCAGAACACGGCTTAGTACAATCGGCCGTCTGCCGTGACCAACTGGAAGTTTGAGAAAACTGAACAGATACACAAAAAGAAGCAGACGGACTGATGTAGAATTATTTTCTATGTTCATGAAAAGTCAAATGTTTAATTGCAGGAGAGTGAGATCGATTAGTTGATGCCAGCAGTATCATCGTTCTCCAGGAAGGCAACACAAGCAAAGTTTGTCCCGCAGTAACCTGAGCTTATAGCAGCATTAACTAGAGATAGTTGAGGTTAACCTAACACCTGGAATGAGGCCTGAGACAGGCAGGGAGAACTGACTTTCTGGATTAGATTTCCCCGCCGGATTGACGCGTACTTTCTACCTTCCTCTTCTCTCCCACTGCTCCACTTGGGCAAACATCACTGTTTTATCTATAAGCTGTATCAAAAGGAACATTTTAAGCTTAGTCTTAAAATTAGACTGGGTTTCTGCCTCACAGACTCAAACTGGGAGCTGTTTCCACAGGAGAGGAACCTGACAGCTAAAGTTATCAGGTGTCATTTGTAGATTTGTTTGACTATGGATGCCACCCATTTTTAATGTACAGTCACTGTACATTAGATGTAAACTTCAACGGTGTACTCTACATACTGAAAATGCCACGTTTGGTTCCTGAAACCAATGGACACTATACACTTGACTTGACTGCATTATGTTTGCTGCTCCTCCTTTCCACTCGAGGCACATCTCAAACGTTTCTCTCAACTCTCACCCTATAACTCTCATCATTTGTTAATTTCCTCTTCTCACATTCTGGTGTTGCTTCTGTCTTTGTTTCCCTTTAATCAGTGTAAGCTAGACTACCAGGCATGCATCACCGGAAAGAAGATTTCCGTAAAGTGTCCCGGCATGTGTCCTTGTCCCCCTCAGCCTGAGCAGGGCTCTGCAGAGAAGAAAGGTAACACCGTTCAGCTGGGAACGTCATTTGTATGGGCTACAAAACTTACATAAAGTTTCTGCAGCGTTTTTATTGTTAATATTAATGAAGCTTAATGAGTCATAGGATGAAACTAAAGTTTAAATCAATAACACTTCACAGTGTGCAGTGAATCAGATCTGAAGGAGGTGGTGAGTCGCCTGAGAGATTGGTTCAGAGTGCTGCACGAGAACGGAAACCACCAGAGAGTCAAGATCCAAAAACCGGAGAAGAACAGTGAGTCACGACACACTTTCACTGAGTCAGGACTTTGATGCTCACGTAGACGGTTCATAGCACATCCTTAAACTTCCTCACAGAGTTCGACGTTGGGACGTCACCGATCTGTAAGGACCCTCTGGGTTGGATGTTCTCCCGACTGGACACAAACTTTGACCTCCAGCTTGACCAGTCAGAGATCAAGAGCCTGTATCTGGACAGGAACGAGCCGTGCTCTGACGCGTTCTTCAAGTCATGCGATACGCATCCCGACAAGGTCATAACCAGCTCTGAGTGGTGCACGGGCTTCCAGAGGTACACAGGTGGGTCACCTTCAGTTTGTTCAGGGCTGAGTAAACATTTCTCAGCTGTGACTCCTGAGATCTTTGTGAACTCAACCTGAGTCTTGAAAAATTACTCCTCTCATTAAGCCTGACTCCAGTAACCATTTTCGTGACTTTTTTCTAATCTTCTTCAATTCTCCAAACGCAATGTATCGACACATTATGTTTCAGTAAAATGTCTCAGGTCTTTTGCAGCATTTGTAACTGGTTCTTTCAACCAGGTAAAAAACAAATATTGATCAGGTGTGTTTAGTTAAGATAAAGGAGACTCAACAAAAAAACAAAAAAAACAAGAACTCATCTGAAAATCTCTGCACGTTCGCCAAAATAACCCCCTTTGTTAAAGAGGCTTTAAAAAAAAATCATTTGAATGAAAAAAAAAAAATCTATTTTTAATTAAAATCATTTGGAAAAAGTACAATAAGAAATGATTTCTTAAACTGAAGGGATTTATACTATGATGCATTCAAGATTTTCAGTCTGAAGACATTGTGTGAAACAGATTTGCTTGACTAAGGATGAGAATCTGTATATATTTTGTTACAAAAGAACAACAATGGGTCGCTCATTGCAGCTGCAATAGCGGACGCGGCATGGTGAGGAAAATCGTTATCAAGACAAAAGGTAGCTCTGCAGCTCGTTACCAGTGTCCCCATCTCTCCCTTTCAGATTCCCCGTGTAAAGCAGAGCTTTCTAGCATCAGCAAAAAACAAGCTGGGAAGAAGTTACTTGGTAAGCCACCCTCTGATGAACAAATTCACCCAAAACATTTGCTTCTCCTGCTTACTGTGTGCTCCTGCTAAAACCTGCAGGTCAGTATCTGCCTTCCTGTGACGAGGAGGGTTACTACAGGCCACACCAATGTCACAGCAGCAGCGGCCAGTGTTGGTGTGTGGATCGCTTTGGCAACGAAGTGGCAAGCTCACGCACTCACGGTCCTGCAGACTGTGGTATGCAAAAAGCTAGAAAACAGTGTCAGGTTTCTGAGCTGGTGGAAGAAATGAAAGCATGTTGTCCAATTACTGTGTCTATATTTATATTCAGGGAGCTTGGGTAAGGGCTGAAGACATTATTTTGTTCTGTAAAATATCAAATCATAATGAGGCAATGCAGAAGGAATATCATGTATAAAATCAAAAAATAAAACTGTTTTTTTTTAAATGCATCTTTGTCTAGAAGGCATGTCAAAAATTATTTATACACAAGTTTTGAACTTAACTGTAAACTGTCTGTACAAAGAGTTTTGTTAAAGCATAACATTTAAATCACACATTTTTATTGAAGTCAGTGCAATACGGAAAACCAGTGGTGATAAATGATGCTTTCATTTCCCATGGTAGATGGAAATTGGTTTATTAAATAATCTTATAATCAGCCTAATTAGATTTCAATTTTAAATAAAAAAAACTACCTAGCTATTTGCAAACTGTTGTGCTCATTGACAAGCTAATCTCAATTACTAGCATTTTTAGGCACTGAAAGATTTAGGGAACATTTTCACAAATCATTGCTGCGCTGCGTAATGTTTGGAATGATCTTGAATGCGGTGCAGTCCGTCAAAAGAGCAAAAAATAAGATTTTTTTCCCCCGCGATTACAGTAGTATATTCACAAGGCATGTGTATTGGACTGTTCATAAGAAACTTCTGACTTCACAAAGTGTCCTTGTAACTTTTTTCAGTTTGGAAATATTCCACCTCCAAGATACAAAAGCAATAAGGCACGAGTCCATCTTATGCTATGTAAACAATCTTTTATTAAGTGATTTTTTTTTTGTCTCTTTTTGATTTGTTTTTTTGTTCTAGGTGTAATCCTGGAGTCTTCAGGGGACCTCGGCAGCGGCGACTCCCTCTTCACCGACGACGACGAAGATTCATTCGTCCTTAACGACCAGGCAGGTATGGATGATGAGGACGATGAAGATGAGGACGATGACGATGATGAAAACGATGAATATTTGTCATAATTATATATATTATATAAAATGACAGAACAAAAAAAAAATGAAATTACTGTATGTTTGGTCAAATTGCACGTTTCTAGGTGAATCCTCCCCTCCCCACCCAGGCAGATAATTCATCATACTAACAGCCTACAGACTATTCTCTGTGTATTGTTTCTCTATCGGTTGAAAGGAAAGAAAAAAAAAAGCTATATTTTAGAAAACGGTTTCAGATTTTTCCCTCCTGTTTAACTAGAAGATATACGTGTACACTTGTATTTCAACCAAGCAGAGAATATAACTATCTGACAAACTGGTCCATTCGCTTGGATTTGGTCACTTGTGCAAAGACCTTTCCTTACAGTGGACAGTCCATGTCTTTCAGTGTCTCGTGTCCTTGTGGAACACTCCGATGCCTGAGTGTGTTGATGCCTGAAGGCACATTGTTAAAGAGATTTCCTTTTTCCCTCATTCCTCCGTCTTCTTCACTTCATCCGTCCGCTCTTTTTATCCTTATCAAATGTTCCCGTTTATAGGTGGGACGTCGATGATGTAGATAAGAGAATATTGCACTTGTTAGGTTTCTTTTGATCTCGTTTCTTTTTCTTTTTTTTTTTTTTAACTGTGACGATAACTTTGTGGTAAAAACAAGATAAGGGTTAGACATGCTGCAGCAGATGAATTAACGTATACAACAACAAAACAAACAATCATAACAACAACAACAACAAAAAAACAATCAGAAATATGAGCTGCTGTCGGACGCAGATCTAGTCGAATCATCACGGGCTCAGAAAGGATAAAACAAATTTACTGTTTGGCCTCATGTTTTTTTTTTTTTTTTTTTGCTGCAGAGGGGTATTATTGTTATCTATTTTTCTAATCCGTCGTAGGCCGAATACTGGAGATGAAACAGATTTGTCTCAGCATGTCTAATACTGCGTAATGTTGTTTCCGTCTGTAGAGGCAGAGGCCAAACCTTTGAGGAACTCAAAATGAAAAAGAACAAGAAAAAAAAAAGAAACGAAAAGAGCTTGCAGTTGTAATAAAAAAAAGGTCTTAAGTGTGTACAGATGAAAGCTCCTTAGAGTTCAGAAAATATGATGTTGATGTTTTTATATTCGCAGATGCGTGATTTTAGCACACAGCATAGCAGATTCAATTTCTTGCACATTAAAGAAAGAAAGTAACAGAGCCATGCACATTTGTTGGAACATAAATGGTGGATATAAAAAAGTGTACACATCTCTGTTTTAATGCCAGTTTAGTGATGTATAAAAAAAAGGACTATAGTAAATCATTGACTTTCATATGTTATGACTACTCTATATTATTCAACTAATGAACAACAAAATCTGTTTTGAGGAAAATGTGATAAAACAACAGCTGTATTAATCTACACAATCTGGGACTAATATTTTGTGAAAAGAATTATTAATGCAGCCACAGTGTTCAGTCTTCTTTGACAGGATTCCTTCAACATGCCACAGCTTGACAATATTTGCCCAGAGTTTTCTTCTGGACAACTCAAAGAGCTTCTGCCATTCTCAGTTGTGGACTCCTGCAAGGCCATTCCCATTTTTTTTTAATTGTATGTGTATTTGAACTCAAAACATGCTGAAAAATAAACCTCCTTTTCATCTTTGGCTTCTAGCATTTTGGATCGTTATCCACTTTTATCATGATGCTGCCACCACCGTGTTTCACTGTGGGTGTTGAGTGTTGTTTTTATGCTAAAATTAACTTTTTGAAATTGTGGCCAAAACTTATGCTTGATTTCATCATCCACAAGGATTTGGTCAAATTAGTCAGTTTATAAGTTTCTTCATGGGAAGAAAAGGCTTCTATCATGTAACCCTACTACTACTGATTTCAATAGGCAGAGAACACAGGGGAATCTTTTCACATGCAGAATGCAACCTGTACTTGACAGTAACTCGTGCAGCTGCTTCAGGATTGCTGTTTAGAGCCTCACTGACCCGTTTTAGCTTTGTCTTTTCATCGGATCTGGAGAAAATCCTCGTAAAACAGATAAACTTTGTTACAGATAAATCTGATTCGCTATAGCTGATGGCAAGGGCAACCTCAAGAAGAGTGGAAATCAAAACGGTGCTTCAGCAATGTTAAATTAACACTGTGCTATGCAATTGAGTTAATGAAGCCCTTTTTAATGTTTGCATTTGTCCCTCTGACAGATTTGCTTGTTTTTCAGTTGAAATGCCACATTAAAGGTGGAAAATGTTTTTAAAAGATTTCACGTGGTCCAGTTTTTCCACATTAGAGACGCCTGGCGTTTTGCCAGCGGTGTGTTGACTTTTGAGATCCACCATGGGCTGTGGAGGTTTAGTCGTAAGGTGTGCCTTTTTGCTGGTAAGGACATGTGATGGGTGGGCAGGATCACTGACGGCTTTACTCTAAAGCCTGTATATTACAGTACATTGACTTAGTTCTGCCATGTGTTTGGGGTTCTCATTTGAGATGGCGTTACTATGGCTTCCACCACTCGTTTAATTTGTCACATAGTTAGAATGCAGAGAGATACCTACCAGCTAGGGCATATAAACACTGCTGGATATGAAAATGTTTTATATAGATTGTACACTGGCTAGAGGAAGCTTTGGTTTAGACAGCTTTATACAAGAAGAAGATAATCAGCGTTTGCTTTTCCATTGTTTCAGTAGCTTAATCTGATCTGCTGTATCTATTTATAGGGTAACTCTTCCAGGGTAAAATAAAAATCTCTCAGCTCAGATGTGTGTGTTGTTAAGTCACATTAATACATTAATGCAGACCTGAGATCAGCTAATGCTAACTTACAGTAATTACTCTACTATTTGGCTTCATTCTTAATTTTTCTAAACTGCTAAGATCTGAAAAGTGCCATCTAATTGTCCCTTTTTCTGTTTTTTTTTTGTTTGTTTTTTTTAAATGTCCTTCCAGTGTTTGTAATTCTGATTTTAAATTCACTTAGAAACTGGACAACATTGCAGTCTCGACGCATTTTATGACTGTGATAACATGCAAATCTTTTTTGAAGACCTCGGACACTGTAGCCACTCTTTCACCAACCCCACACTGTCATCACAGCTCTTATAGCGTTAGGTTATGATACAGATGCATTTTTTACAGTGTATGTATAATTTGCTGAAATAAAAGCTATATTGACCAACGTCTCTGTTGTCACAGACAGTATTTGGACATGAGCTAATGAGACAGACCTTCCTCACTTCCGTGTCTCGGTTCCGCGTCGAATGTTTGTGTTCCTTATTCTTCCATCTCATTTAGAAGAAAGAGAAGTTGCTGAGGTTTGTGGGCTATAAGTAAAGAGTTATTTTAGATTGTCACAAGTTTGTAGGAACTGGGTAAAGGGCCATAGTCATTTTACACAGCATTATGACGCAACATATAAAAGGATAAAATAAACATTTTCAAGTTATGTCAGTAAGAACAAACGACAAATTAAACTTATTTTGAAATGTATCACTTGTCCTCCAATCCGATCTTGGACTACTTTGCGTTGTTGTGTCACGCAGAATCTAAATAAACTACTCTCAATGTTGTAAAGTCTAAAACTGAAATATGAAAAATCTTTGCACTGCAAGAAAAAAAAAAAAAAAGAAAGCCGACTGTAGGCATGTGTGACAAACTCTGCATCTTTGCATGCCCGAACATTAATGCATTATGTACGAGAAAAACAAGGTGAATTTTTTATGATGCCCACATTATCCAGGCATGCATTCACTGTGCCCATTCAGGTGTACGCTAACAGATGTAGATCAAAATAGCTATATAAACAAAATGGAGAGAAAATACATGTATTTCCTGTCTCTAAACGTAAGAAACGTCCATATGAGCTTTACTTAACTGTAAGTGAGGTGCTGGAACTCACACAATAGACCAACACATGTGAGAAGGTGTTGGCAGCAGAAGCTGTCAGTTTGAGCTGCAGATAAGGAACTTACTGAGTAAATATAAAACATTCATTTTCACACACCTTTTCCCTGGCCTTTTTTATTTTTTTTTGTGCTGACCATAGAAATGAAGGGAGATACCATCTCTGCGGCTCATTTCCAAACACTGGAGAGCCTGCTGCTGGAGACTGTTCAACAACAATAAAATGTGATCTGCCTGCAGATGGGGAGTCGGGCTGACTGATGGGAAATGCCTCGAATTGCAGGAAGCACTTTCCGTGTTCGGAAATCAGGTTTCTTTGGATAAGCAACTTCATGGCACGGGCTCTTTTATCACTTTTACGCTGATAAATGACAACGTCTAGCTGTAACAAAGAGATTAAGCCAACTTAAATATTTACTTAAATTGCCTGAACCTTTTGTCTAATTAGTAAATAACAGAGTAAAACAAGCTCAGATTAATATTATGTTTAGTCTTGACATTGATTATTGTGCTTTCTGTGGTTTCCCACAATAATTTTTAATCAATTTATAGCGACTGATGTTTCTATAAAATTGTAATTTACTCATTTAATTCTTTTAACAGCTGCATGTTGACAAAAATGTTGTAAATTAATGTTGGAAGTTCTACCAATTTTTTTTTTTTAAATGCATTGCTATATAAAATTAAAAGGGATTGAAGATTTAGCCTTTCCTGGAATAACAGAACTAATATTCTTAAAAACTGCCCAACATCTGTGTTGCATAGACTCAACGTATTTCTGCCACCTGTGAAGAGGTATTTTAGATCAGGAAATCTGGACTATGTTCCCCATTTCCTTTGCATTTTTTTAATTTTTTTATTTTTTTAGATTTTGCCTCACAAACATCATGACATTCATGACCTTGATTCGGCCCAAAATGAAAATGAGCTTGAAATCCCTAGTGTAATGTAACAGAGTAAATAGCTTCGGTGAAGGGATGCAGCTAAAAGTCACACTTTCATAAATATAAAATGTACTTGTCAAATTTTTATTCAAAGGAAAATTGAAAAAGTCACTCCAAGCTGATGCGATTCGTGTTTAAAATGCTGACAAACTCCAGCAAGAGTGAAACACTCAAGCGCTCAGGCAGAAAATAGACTCACATCTGAAACTAATTATGATACACAGGTGAAAGTTTGGAGAAAGAAGTTATTAATTTATTGATAATGTTATCTGCAGATGCCGTAATGCATGTAAAGAAAAAACTATGGCAAAAAAACTTACTCAAAACTCCTTACTTGCCCAGTTAATGACAGACTCATAATAAGAGTCTGTCTTCTAAAGAAGCTGGCTGTTAACTGACCGCTGGATCAAAACATATTGATGGAGAATTGACAGGAAAGAAACAATGTGGAGGAAAAAAAGTATACAAGATTTTTTTTTTTTTAAAAGTATACAGTCACAATATTGGTAATTAAATTGCTGAAATAAATTAACTTTTGATGATACAGAGGCAGAAAGACTCAGTTCAATGGTGAAGTCACTTCACTTCCTCTGTCCATTGATGATCAAAGGATCTGGTGAAAGCAACTGTATGACAACCTGGCCTCTATCAGTCTGTCCCGGCGGAAATGTGTCTTCATTGTAGCTTACCATCACCGCTTTGTGCATGAATGAGTGAATTACTAAATTTAGCATAATGTGCTTTGGAGTCCTCTGACTTGGTAAAGCACTATACAAATGCAGGCCATGTCAAACTTTGACAAAACTGTTGTAAGATACTGTATATGTTGCGTTTCTTGGGTCAGAACAAACAGAAGCTCTGTAAAGCTGACCAGGCAACTTACCATTTACAATTAATTTAAATTTTCTGTGAAGGAATGTCCTTTTATACAGTACAAACTCAGGTGAAAAGATGAAAACATAACATGATAATTAGGAGAGAAACAAGGGCACAATACCAATTCTTCTTCTGCAAACTAAACATAACATTTATGATATTTCTGGAAATTATGAATTATTTAATTTTCAAGTTTTGGCCATGTGAGTTTCACTTCCTTTTCATCCATAAGAGAAGGAAGTCGTGCGAATGGTCATTGTGCCGTTATATAGAAATCAGCCCAGGCTGAGTCACGAGTTGGGCATCGAGAGGTTTTCCTCTTGATTCCTGCATTTTATGGAGGAGGACAGCAGTGTGCAGAGACAGCTGTCCCATTAATAACCACTAACTGCTCAGTGGGTTTGGTCCGTGGCTGTTCAACAAACTGAAAAGGATGAGCCTATAGATCAATACAGTTAGGAGAAACGGACGTAGATCAGCCCGAGTTGGCCTTCTGCTTCCACTAACTTTTCTAATCTATACAGAAAAATGAAGTAGGTCATGTGTTTAAACATATACAAAAGTATTTGAAATAATAATTTTAAAAAATCCCTTATTTTAAGATTTTCAGCTCATAATTGTTGGTAAAATAATAACTTATATATGGATTTGCTGCCCTCCAGTGGTTTCAATGAAATGTTGATTTTTTTGTTTTTATAAATGCAATTCAAAAAGCCTCAAATTTATTCATGAAGTCATTAATAGGTTGTCCCTATGGTGATACCACCAAGTCAGAATCCACCCTCACAAAATAATTTACTTTTTAAGTAATAATTGTAATCGTCACAAAGAAGACTGAGGGCAGCGAAGCAGAATAACAAAACTGTTTTTGTATTAAAAAGATTTATTTAGGCAACCCATTTAAAAACAAAACAAAATCAATGCATTATTGGACACCAGTGTTAATACATCTGTTGACCTCAACATATAAAACAAGAACATACAAATGAGTTAATAGTAATGAATGGCAGCAAAGGGTAAACAAACCAAAACTCATCAAATGACTAAAACAAAACTAAAAAACATCTCTTTTCCCCACTATTAGTTTTCAGTTTTTATGAAAGTCCCTCTCTTTACAACTGTAAAACACGGTAAAATCTATAAAAGCTGTAAGTGTTCAGAGCTTCTGTCCAAAATGCATCGTAAATTCTGCTGAAGCCTCTGAATTTGACGTTGGTTACTGGTAAGCCAGGCTTCATTCTTGTCATACTGTGTGCATTTCAAGAGCTTTTTTAAGCAGCTTTTATGACATGGTGGTTAGATAATTGGTCAAGCTGAAGTCCCGCCACCTCTCTGCAAGATGGGGAAAAAAAACAACACATTTAGTCCTTATTTACTTAGAAATACAACAATCACCACATCACATGAAGATTTTTCTACTCACCATGGGCTTCATTTCCTGTCTCGCTCCCTCTGGCGACTTGTATTTACCCATTTTACTGCTCTTCTCAATATGCTCCTGGAATTTTAACAAAAAAGGAAATTACATTGAACTCAATTTATGAGAATCAAGACCAGGGTCAACACCAGTTTTCCAATTCAAAATTTCACACATATCCAGACTGAATGTTTAAGTTTTTATTATACTGTTATTTTAGGAAATCATGAAGCAACAACAATAAAGTGCTGAAGCTAAGCTCTAATTCATCTGTAAGGTAAATTGCTATTTCATTTGTACATATCACAGCGATAGATGGATATGATTTAGCTTCAGCTCCCAATGAGATATGAAATTTTATGAAAATTCACCATTCATCAGACCTTCAATGGTGAAATACAATTTTCTCTAGAGTCTAAAATTTATCAGTGAATTTTCATAAGATTTCCCCCTTGGGCTATCATGAGTCATTGGGAGCTAAAGCTAAAACATGTTTAGCCACTGAACCATGGAATGATAATGACAATAACTCGCAGGCACTCAATGAGCCGCCTCACCATCAATTCCTTGTCCATGTAGTACGGTCGCCCAGAGCTGCCGTCATTGAGCTTTTTGTCCACAGCGTAGCAGAGAAAGAGGACGTCGACCACGTTCTCAAACAGAGAGAGGAAGCAGTTGGCCACGAGGTAGGCAAACAGACAGGAGATGAGGAGAGGTAGCACCCAGACGGTGTAGTCCTGTTGGTAATTCAGAGCCAGGACGCCCACAAAAGCTGTACAGGAGACTATTAGAACCTGACAGACAAGTGCTTGATTAGAGGTTTCTCAACAGGGACAGAACAGATATACATTTTGCCCACTAGATGGAAGCGCAAGCTGTCAGTTCACATCATGTTTGAATACAAAGTTAAACATCACAATAGTGTCAAGTTAACCTGGCTGTCATGTTCCTACGCAATTCTGTTCGACTAAAATCCAAGATTTCTCCCATTGACTTGGATTCCTCTGGTAGAGTTTGTACCGGGCCAAAGAGATGGAGAAGTTGAACGATGATGCTGATTTTCTTAAAGTCAACCCTGCCCCCTTTTCATTTCAAAATGCATTTTAAATTTATGTTTAGAATCGCAAACTATTTAAGAGGACAATGCAGTGTTAAATTTTTTGCATTAACAAATGTGCACTAAACCCAGCTGGGTAAGGGAGAGTGTTTTCCCACCGAAGAAAAACATCAAGAAAATAACCATAATATAATTTATTAAAAAGAAATCCGATAAATTGCCGTTTTGTTATGTCACAAGAGTCATGCGAGTGTGGAAGCTTGTTTTAGGAGAATTTAGGTTTTACCTTGGTTAAATAAAGTTTAGGGAGAAAAGAACTGAAACTGACCATGTGATATTGTCAAACTGCATCCAAAATGTGCGATTAACAAAATTAGCCACAAAAAGAGAAAAGATAAAAAAACAAATGTGTGATGCATCTTACCTTTCCCATAAAGAGGACAAAGTCCCCTACTGTGTTAATGACTGCCACTTGGGCCGCGTTCTCAAGCAAGAGCTTAAAAGCATCACAAACTGAAGAGCAGAAGTTGGTGCCGTTTATGGCCGTTGCAGTATAGGCATTCTGAAACAAGTCAACATTTGCTTTGTTACATTGTACAAAAAACAAAATGGCTTTAGTGAAATCTTGTATATTCTGTCCTCATGTCCCCGTTGCTACTTACTTGGTTTAGGAATACCAGACACTTTTCAAGACAATACAGACAGCAGACGCAGGCTTTCAACATGCAACGAGCGCAAGCATTTTCCTGGAAGAAAAAAATAAATTATATGTATATAAATTCTAGCTTGCAGATGTTGCATAAAAATGCATGTAATGTCAACTTGCACAATCTGGTTATAAAGGTTTATGGCTCACTTTTCCTTTGAGCTGGGTGTGGATGTACGTGAGGATGATACGAGGAATCTTAACCAGTGTGATGATGAAGGATCCCTTTGCCACAGTGCCCATGTGGTAGCGCAAGGTGTTAATTGAAGAGGAAACTACCGTAAATTGTGGCAAGTTATCCTTGTCCCTAAATTCAGTCACACATAAAAAGACAACGTTAATTGAAATCATGTAGCATACAGTTGTTCCAAAAATCATTCCAGAGTAGGTTCATGGGCAAAATCTGAAGTTATTTTGGTGTTTAGTTCATAGCAGCCGCAGTATGTCTGGAGGAGAAGGAATGAAGCATCTGCTGAAAAGAACATCATGTCTTCAGTTAAGCAAGGTGGTGACGTTTATTGCAACCACCCTCTAGTTTGTATGTTTTGCCAATGAAGCTACTTTACACTGACTGGTTGAATACTTTTTAGGTACAGTTAAAATAAATTGGAAACATGGGTCTTTTCCTACCTTGTGAAAAAATAAGTGCTGACAGCTCCAGCGATGGTCATCTGCTGGAAAGCGAGGATGAACTCACTGATCCAGATGAGACCAACGAGGTGATACCACACCATGTACTGAAGAGGCCCCTGCATCTGATACTCAACCACACCTGTGGAGTTGTTCTTTACAGGAGATCCTGAAGGACAAAACAAGCTTTACAGTTGACAAGAACCGAGCAGTTTGCCTATTGGTGGATTTTCTTCCCCCTCAAAACTCTTGGAAAGTTTTCCCATCTAACATTCGTTTCCTATCATGCATTTTTGATTGTTCTCTTATCTTTGTCAGTCACTTGAAACTGCAGGACATGTTTTCTTTCTTTTTTTTTTTATTTTACTTTAGAGTATATAGGAATTTTAGATTAGCAGCTGGAAACTTTCTGCTTCCCTGAGTAATAAACAGGATGCAGCATACCACATATTCAAAACTGGAAAGACGAGGCAAAATGTATATTTTGCTTCCTAGTTGAGCATTGAAGGTACTTTGTATAGTATTCTGGCTGCAAAGTGAACACTGTGTTCAAAGAGTCAGCCTGGGGGAAGAAACTGTCTCTGCGGGAGCTGGTTTTTGCAGTCTGTAGCACCAGCCTGAAGGTAAAAGTTTCAACAATTTGTGTCCAGGATGTGTGGGGTCTGCAGAGACACTAGCTGCTCTTTTCCTCTTTAAACCAATTGGAACAATGACAAACATGGAGAAGAACCTGGAAAGTTTACTGAAGCCATAAGTGACCTCTCAGGGGAATCGACATTCCATAACTAATAGTTGTTATAAACGTCATATGAAGTGACACTGGGCATTTAAACGATTAGAACATTTGATTAAGGGACAGAAACTGACAAAAATTAAGATAAAGTTAGGCTTTAAAATTCAATAGGATAGATAATACATATTAAAGCATTTTAACAAAATGAAGACATTCCAGTTGGTTGTGTGAAACTGATTAATGATTTTTATGCTTGTGCTCAAACATATTTACACTCTTAAACAGTACTGAAAACTGGTTTTGCATTTCAATATGTTGCTACTTAAAACAATGTAATTTTTAAAATTGTAATTCATAATGTCCCTCAACGGTTAAGGTTGTTTTTATATGACTATTTTTTTTAAAGAAATCTCTTTTATCAATAACACTGCATTTAATTTGTTATATCAGTTTATCCTTGCTACAAATACCTAAATAGTTCAATACAGATAAGACGGTTTTTTTTGTCCATGCTACTGAAATTGATGATGAAAAACCTTTTTTGTTCTTCCTGCCCAAACGATAACAAGTGGAGTTTGCAAAGTGCGACAATGATCAGAATAGAAACAGTTTGCTTTAGGTGTAAGGTCTTAATTATTTTTACACCTTTAGTGTTGTTTGCTTTGGTCCGAAGGGGGATCTGAAATGCTTTGGGCCCGTTTCTGTTCCACAGGTTCTTGTTAGACTGCATGGTATCATGAAAGCTTGAGAACTTAAATAGAAAAAATTGGACAGACTCGGCAAGAAAACTAAAAATGGCTCATCTGGTGTTTCAGTTGGATAATAATCCATGTGAAGAATGCTTCCATAAACACAAAACCAACCTTTTATGCTTCTCTCGGTCCCAACATCTAAATCCTACAGGCTACTTTCTAAAAGTGCGAGATTTTGCTGCTCCAATAAAAGGTGAACGCATTATTATTATTTTTTTTTTGCACATCTTAACTGGGAGTGTCTGCCAGAGTAAAAACACTCTTGTACATATATGCAATTATGAACACAAAGAAAACTATGCCCTACAAATTCTCATCTCTGCAGTGATTTTGTTTCTTTTTTCCCCCAGCAACGCTAAACAAACTTTTCTCCACTTGATAAAGTAAATCTACATTTACTGTAACTAAAATTCATACTTCGAGGTTTTAATACAACACAAATGGAGGTCAATAAGGAATGAAATACCTCTTCCATAAAACAAAAAAATGCCCCAAAACACAAATAAGGCATAAATTTGATTCATCAGCTTTTCTGCATTTGTCTTTTGTTTTCATTCTGACTATTTCCCAGCAGAAAGGAGAAGTGGGAGATGAATTGAGAAAGCCCATTGACCTTGTTCTCCACATCATGAGACTGCCACAGGATTCCAGATGTGGGAGTTCAGTCATGACACAAAAGCCCAATTAAATGCCACACACTTAATATTCTGTTTGTTTGGGAATGGTATCAAAGACCATGAGAATTTTGAAGAAATGACTTACTGAGGAACATTCATAAAATGTAAATAAGTTAAGTGGAAATCATGTGTGTTGTGGCTGACCTGACGTCCCGAGGAAGAGAAGCACGGCCACCCAGTAGACCCAGAACATCATGAGGCCGAGGAAGGTCCAGAAGGGATGCAGGAACAACAGGGGGAGGCTGGTGAACACTTTACCTGTCACATGGAACAGGCTGATGGTGAGAGACACATGCTTCCTCAAGAAAAACATCAGCAGCAGCAGCACTACCTGCAAGATTAAACACAGGGTTTTCCTTACACTTTTCTAGAATGGATCAGGTGGCTAACAGTATGCATAACACGAAGGTTTTCACAATATTATTACAAAAATCACTGCATTTTAGTATTTAGAGTGACCCCGATTATAATTATGTAATTTTTCTACAAAAAAAAAAAAAGTCTACCAATAGTGGAAATACATACTGTGAAAATAGTAGCACCAATAGAATAAACAAGCAAAGCTTTGTCGTTGTCTCCGGCCACTTCTTTCCATAATACACTTGTGCTGTTTTTGCTGAGGCCATGTTTTTGGTCCGCGTACAACCACCAGAGGATACACGTCCCACCTGAAAAAGATCAAATACATGCAAAGTTTGAGCTGGAAAATAAAGGTGAAACTGCAACATTTTGAGTGTCATTTTAATTGAGTAACAGAATAAAACAAATTACCTACTGAGCCGATGATTACCAGAACGGTGAGAATTATAACCAGCACTTTAGAGATGTAACGAATAACAACCGTCATGATCAGGGACAAGACTGGATAAAGGAGAGAAAACGTAGAACACACAATGAACTCGTAGAAAGACCATTTTCTTTGTGGTAGATAAAACATGGCTGCAATTGTACAGTTCAAGTCAGATGTTTAAATAGGTTGATCATTTGCACGAATATTTTAGTTTTGTGCTTTTAAGCCATCTTTTAAGTGTGGAACCACAAGACTAAGAAAAATACAAATTGCTGCTACCTACATGGGAAACCCCAATGTCCTTTGGAGAAAAGCTTAAATGTGTGGGATGGGCCCGACATTAACAACGTCGACGATTTCTGGAGTCTGACTAAAATCAACAAATTCAGGCTCTTCCAATCTGTTCTGCAATAAATGCAAGTTTGTTCACCCAAAATAAACTTAAAAAAATCTGTCTGTTGTGTATACCTTTCAAAAACCAAAGTTAAAATACTTTGTTACAAGCCCATGATGAATGTGTCTATTGTTGGGCAAATAACCTGAATTACCTTGAAAGCACAGCTCAAACTCATTTTCGTTATGTGCCACATCAAGATAACAAATGTCCCCAAAGGGCCAGTTGTGTCCCTGTAGAGCCTAGAGGGCCACATGAAAAGTTATGGGGGGGTCGAATTTGGCCCCCAGACCTTGAGTTTGACATATTAGAGTCAATGACAAACGTCCCTCTAAACCAAGAAACAAAATGTCGTCTTGCGATAATTTCTCTCTTGAGAAACAAACCAGACGAATCAAATAAAAAGATAAAAACGGACAAAGATTTGACCCATTATCCCTGCTATACCAGCAGAAGAACTCAAAGCAGAAATTAAATTATTGCCTAGAGGATTAACTGTGGAGTATCCAACGTCTGTAACCACTCAGACACTTCCTGTTTTTCCCTTTACGCACCAAAAATTGTTTCCCTGCCAACTATTTCCTTCCTGCTAAAATCCCAATAAGCAGCTAGAGCCGAGCAGTGGGACAGCAGTAGACCAAACCTCAAGAGTATGTTTTCTTTCATACTTCCATAACCGATTAAACGTTCCGCTGTATATAATGCGTGTTACAGATAAATAAAATAGTTTTATACCAAAAGCCAGAACACAAAGACCCATGATGATTTCTTTGCTGGTGATCACTCCTGCAATGACACGCCGCAGCACAGTGTTGTCACCAACAAATGTGATGAAAGCCTGGGCGAACTCAGCATAGCAGCTGATGTTCACAGGGATGCAGCGGTGGAAGACGGGGACAGCATTACTGAGAACAAGGAGGAGAAAAACATTATTTGAAAACAAAAGTAATGGAGAAAATAATTTTATTTGTTATTTTTACTCCATCAAGCAATCATTTTATTATGTCCAGTTAAAGTCCCTAACTGGACAGCCAGATTGATCCAGTGAGAGGAAATTTATTATTAAAATTGACTTGAATCCCAATTTCCATCTTGAAAGTCCAATATTAATATCAAAAGAATTCACATTGAACCGTTCCATTGTTTTTGTAACATATCAACTCCATATTGGTGTCTAAATTACCCTGCAATAGTATTCATACCTCTTAAACATTTCCCCGTTTCATCATGTTTCAACCTCAAACTTCACAGCATTTATTTGGATTTTATGCGGCAGATCAACCCACTGACGCAACTGAATCAGTTGCGCTAGAGCAGGGTCACATCTAAAACCCGGCAGTGGGCCCTGAGAACCTGGGTTGGAAACCCCTATGCCATAGAACATTAGTAAACAAACAGCATCTTAAATATCTAAGGAACACAGACAGGGACGGCAAATTTTGAAGAAATGTTAAAAAGGGACACGTCATAGCAAACCACCCAACACTAGTTTGTGATGTTCTATGACTATGATGTCAATACTCAAGTTTGTCGATGTAACGCATCATAAACGTAGAGTTCAATGGGTATGAACGCTTTTGTAAGCTGCTGAATGTAGCGTAAAAAAGAAAAAAATTATTTTTTTAAAAACCCAAAGCATAGAAATGACTCACCTTTGTGGAACGGGAGGTTTTGGACATTTTGGGTTGTTCTCATATTGTCTTGGAGTAAGCTCATAGGAGCAGAGATAAGACCCTAACAACAGAAAAAAACAAGTAAACGATTCAAAAGAAACACAGTTATGATAAGAAAAAGTGTCTTCAGATTATTTAGACCTCCGTGATGTGGACATTTCCAGAGATGTCCAGAAACATCATTAAAAAGTCTACATGACCTAAACAATCAGCTGTAGGGCTGGGCATCATTAAATCAGTAAGGATAGACATATAATCAATATCAATAGAAAATACATCAAATAGTATATTCAATCATTTCACTGAACGCTCAATGAAATGAGCGTTTGATTCTGGAGGATGTAAGCAGAGGAAACACCTAATCGCTCAACCTTTCATGGCCAGCTAAGCAAGGTGAGTGGCATCAGCTAACTCACTCACTCACTCACTGGTTACCTAGCAACAACCTGTTGATTAACTTGCACAGTTGCATGCTCAGGTTTTGCTACCCGCCTCATAAATGCTTCAAAATAAACCAAAGTGTGGAGTGAAAGAAGAATACGAGTGCAACAGCTCACGAAGAAACTATGGATGGTAGAGGAAAGCTAACATCAAAAGTATTTTAGATATTTAGGACAAAAAAATAAATCAACAATTGATACACTCTTCACGATACGTTTTTCAACTATGTTGCCCAGCTCTACTCAGTAACCAATGTTCCCAAAACAGAAGAGGAAAAAAATGACCTGTCCTTAGTAGCAATGTTGTTGATGAATACAACAACAAATACAACACCAGACCTTAGACATTCAACATTAGATATTTAACTTGAGCCATTTCCACTTCTGATAATTTACTCACCATTACTGAGCGCAAAATCTTTCAACTCTCTGTAGGTCTTCAGTTCTGTGGCTGGACATTGGGAGACGCACAAGGCGATGGACTTGAATTTTCTGCTGATTATGTCAAATTTGCAAGGCTCTAGAAAGAAAACGTACCTAAAAAAGACCACAAAAAAAGAAACAAAATTTATTTTAATTTTAAAACTGCTCACAATTGCAACATCTGAGAATGTGAAACAAAAAAGACAAATTCCTCTGATGAAAATTCATTTTGTGGTTGCCATGTTAACGAGGGCAGAAACTTAAAAGATGTTGACATTTGCTACCCCATCAGACAGACTCTGCTTTGTTGCTGAAATGCCCGTTTTGTTTTTTGTTTTTTCCCTCCAAAGGCTCCATGGGCAATCAGCCCATCAATAAAGCATCGGCCTTTGTTTCCCTGAAGCTAGGCCTTCAGACTGTGGGCTGGTGGTAACCTCCAGCCCCAAATATTCTACAGAATAGAAATTTCCTTTATTGTCCCACAGTGGAGACAGTCATGTAAGAAAAACTCAGAACTGAGAAAAAGCTGCCAGCTTGTGCAGCTGTGGAAGTCAAGGAAAAGAAAGAAATATTAAACATATGACACAAATCAAGAATTTCTTGTTCTGAAATAAGTACATGAAAAGACTCCGATACTTAGATTGAGACACAGAATAGCTGAGATCGAATGATTAAAGTGCAGACATATTTACTTTTTCTCAGTCATGTCAGCGCCACTGAGCGGCACTCCGTCAATCTTCTTGTTGGTGTTATTTCGGCCACAGGTGTTGCCGTAACTATCATATCCAGAGACGAGGCGGGAGGCACCTCCTGTGGCGATGGCAAAGCCACAAATTAAGGCCTGCAGACACAGATGTCAGAAGAGGACATGAACAGTTAACAGGACACTATAAAGGCACTTGTTAGGGTCCAACGCTGAGCTGCAAAGCAGAAGGAAAGTGATGCTGAGAATTTTATGGAATTATGAAGAGTTCTCACTTGAGTACATCCTGTTTTTATCTGAATGTTGGTGCATGGGCAGTTCTCACAATATCCATTAGGATTTTTCAGCCACGAAGGGTAAAAAACAATGTGTTTTCACTAGGCCTGTTAAGATTTTTATACATTGACACTCTCTTGCTTGCCAGAGACATTATCTTGGTGCTATTCAATCTGAAACTAAGTCCTGCTGTGAGTCAGAATTCCAAATACAATCCAGATACAATATCTGATATATCTATTGAATATAAATCACTGTGAAAACCACTGCAGTTGTTAAGCATTACTAGACGTTTTCACTTACAAAATTTAAGAAGGAACAATGTCAGTAAAGTCAAGTATTTTTTTCTAAACTTTGAATCTACACTTTCCAGGAAAATGATAAAGGTGATCCATACATGTCATACAGAAGGTTTACCACTCATAGCACAACCAGTTTAACAACATTTAAGTTCACTTGTAAAAATTATTTCTTTGGAACAGCGCAAGAATATGAGATCTAGCCTGCAACAGTTAACTGGTCCTACAAGACAAAGTACCAAATTCTTGCCTTGAGAATTTGGTACTTTCAAAAACAACATGTAATGCAACAGGTAAGCTGTGAATTATCATTATCATCCAGACGTACCATGCCAATGCAAAACAGTGAGAATATGATGAGCCATGGTATATCCGTGTATTTGCGGTTCTCCGTCGGCTTCCAGTCCCGATCACCCTGCCAAGGCATGAGAGACAGACAGGAGCGGTTATTCTTTTGGAGCCTGTTTTTGTTGTGAGCGCCTCTCTGTGTGCAGCTCCACTCAGCAGGCAAACAACCAACTACTGAGGAGTTGAAGACAAAGAGTTGCCACAGTTGGTGCTGCTGCTGCTGCTGCTGCTGAAAAAAGATGTCACATTACAGTGCACTCGAAAGGTGCTGTGAAGAGAGTCAGCCATTACCTCCAGCACATGAACTGCAACTCACCTCTGTGCTACTGCAACATCCCATTGTGTTACAGTAAAAGTAAAACTTTGCGTCTCTCCGTCACAACTTTTCGATTCTTGTTTTTCTTTCCTTTTCATAAGTTATCCGGAAAAAGACAAAACACACACACACACACACACACACATTCGTTGTTAGCTCGTTTGGTTCATTGAAAGCCTCCGGTTAGAGACACTCCCTACAGCTTCAGGTAAACACGGAAGAAGACCAATTATATACCCCCCTCCCCCCCCACAACCAGTGAAAATATGTGTGCTCATTTCAAGGACTGTAGGAAATAACACACTGGACAAAAACATACACCCTCTCTCTCTCTCTCTCTCTCTCTCTTTCTCTCTCTCTCTCTCTCTCTTTTTTGCAAAGAATACTATTTTATGTGTTTCAAACTGCCATGGCTATGTGCAATTTTTATTATTTTTTCTTAATTTCTGTTGCTAAGCTATGGCTTTTTGCTTTTAATTTGGCACTCTAAGCTTTTTCCCTTTGCAGTGTTGTTTTGTTTTAACATGTTTAATAATAATAATAATAATAATAATAATAATAATAATAATAATAATAATAATAATAATAATAATAATAATAATAGCGGCCAAGAAATGCATTTGTTACTTCCAAGGTTGACTTGACAAATTACGCGCTTCTTTAAATGCATCACGACCAAGGGCATGCATAGCGTCCGTGTGGAGTTTGGCGCCACTTGCTGGAGACAAGACGTCATTGCTCAATGTGACCACGCCAAGGAAGGGAGGGGCTTAGTGCCAATCTCGGTCTCGCGGTCATTGGGCGAGAGGCGGGTGTGGGGAGATTTTCCTGATAGGTTGTCAGTGCTTAAAATATCTAATTAGACAATCATTGACGAAACAAATTGACTTAAATGATGTGGTGATAATAAATAGTCCGTTTTATATATATGCAGGACTGAGTTTCTGGAGGATTTTATGAATGAGCTCAGATCAGGACAAGACAGCAGATTAGTCAAACTTCCTGCCACTGGTGAGTGATGACCAGATTTATGTATTCGAAGCACTTTTTTCTCTGAATTATACATACTACATGACTTGTATATTGCAATATGTTTGCAAAAATATTTATTGTCATGGAGATTGAAGTGTGTTGTAACATGATTAAATGTACAAAAACGTAAGTAACATGATAGCTATTAAAAGCCACAGTAAATGAAAAGTTGGCTTTCTTTTGGATTTTATAAATGGAGACAAATCTCTTGGAGCAGGAATGCAACACAGATGTCACTCTGCTGAAGCCCAGATAATGTATCACTTCCATGCTTATCAACTCTAAATTGAAACTTATGATAATATATATTTTTTTTACACAGATGTACTTCTGACGGTATGAATGAGCAACCATGCAGATGTTCTATTAGGTCATTTTGTTACTGAAGTGCAACTGAACATGTTCTGATACAACTGCCAAGAGATCTGCCTCCCTCATCATATGATGAAGCCGCTCATTGCATCTCATATCCTGAAACCCGCCTGTAAATACTTCCTGCCGATGCTGCTTTGGCAACTGTGTCTAAGGACAACAGGGCATTCTGGATCCCTACTGGAGGAGTCGTTGCCAGTGCAGCATATGTTCAGCAGCATTCTTGGTGAAGAGGTGTAGTGCGTCACTGTCTTGGCCTGCCCGGGGTCTGGGCCGAGTCATTCGTCATATCGAGCGCAACACAAGGATAAATATTATCTTTGCCTTTCCTCAGATACCTTCGCAACTCATGAAGTAAGCGGTGTGCAGCCCTGGAGGATGTGATGAATTCCATCCTGGCAGTCTCATGCACCAAACAGCTAAAACATCAGTACTGCCCACTGTCGTATTTGTCTTGCAGACAGGACTGCAACTGAAACTTGTCGTTTGTAGACTATTTCTTATTTCAAATTTTCTTAGAGGATATCTTTAAATCACTTATCTGAGTCATAAACTGCTACAGTCTTTTTTCTCAAGGGCTCACATGGCTCTTTACATTTCACAATGACGTCCACTCGCACCTCAGTTCAAGGGGCCCTCAAAACTGTGGTTTGACAGGGTAAACCTTTAAAAGTCTTAGCAATCCTGTGCACCTTATTTGCTATGCCTTTAATATGCCGTGAAGTTCTTTTTTTTTTTCCTCCAATTGATATTTCCCTCCTCTGTTCCAAGGCTGTTTATCAGCCTCAGGCACCTTTTTTGGTTTATCAAACTGCTTAACATCGTGGATAACACTCACCACTCCTATTATTTTAGCTGCAGCCTTAGCAGTGACCACAAAATACATGCTTTAATTGAGCTTTCAGAGCTTAAAACAACAGGTTCCCTTTTTCAGCTCCATATTTGGATGCTCAGTAGACTCCAGTTTGCTTTTGAACCTACATTTCCTTGTTTAAGCTAACCTAAATTGTGATCTCTTATAGTGAAGTCGTGCTGCATGCTTGTTGCATGCAGCAACAAGTATTGTTGCTGCATGCAACAATGCTTGTTGCATGCAGCAAGTATTTGATACATAAATTGTTGGTATGGCTATGAGCAATGTAGAACTGGACCACGGTTTGTGATGTGTGGCTGCTTCCTGGGTCAGGTCTCCCTTAAAAATGAGATATCTGATATCAACAGAACCTTCTGAGTAAATAAAGGTATGAATTAAAAGATGTTCAATTAGTTTGAACCCAGAATCTCACCCGTAAATACTTCCTGGAAGTATTTAGCCGGATGCAACTTTTAATAAAACATTTTTGTTGCGATTGAAAAACAATGAGTTTCATTTGTTTGCAGTAGCTGGATGTACTTCACATAATCTGATAAGTATGTAAGTTTGTTTATTAATTGCAATTTTTATCGTCACCACAACATTCAGCAACATTTGTCGGATATTACATGTTTTCTCAATTTAATGAGTTATTTTCTGGTAATTTTGTGTTGTCGCTCATTATTGATATAATGTGTTAAAAATGAAGATGTTTCTAATTAGGGATGAGCTTGTTTCCGATGTCAAGAAAAACAAAGATTTTTGAAAGCTACAATTTTAAAACTGATACAGTTTTCCAACATCCGTCTTGTTAAGCAACTGACTGCAGGCTAGCAACCAGAGCTAACAGGCTGATAGACCAGCTAACTACTATCAGATTGTTGGCAGCAGGGAACACAATTATAGTTTTTATTTCCTGGTTCAAAATCAGAAAAGTCTTCAGTTATAATATAGATTTAAACATCTTGTTACGACATGGCAGATAAAGTGCTATAGTTCTGCTCTGGTGGGGATTTTGTGCTTTTCTGTTTTTCCTACAACTTATGTAAAAAAAAATTTAAATGACAATAGGTAGATGTTTATGATAACATCATTGAAACTGCAGTGATCAATGTTATATTTGCAGCAGGAATAATTGTTTCCTGCTGTTATTGCTCTTATGTTCTTGTTTAAATAAGAGCAAGCTGCACATTTTAGTTTTAAATATTTTTGCATTTAAATCTTTACTAAAAGTTATCATTAAAGTTAAATTGTAAATTGTGAGTTAAATTATACCGACCCATTTGGTCATGAGTTTTTTTTTTGTTTTTTTTTTTTTAATTACACGAGCACACAAGCTGTAATTGTTGCATGAACAGACGAATACAAGACGGACATTATAAACGTACACATCACTCAAAAAATTCACTGCTGCTCCTTTCTCTAAAATGATTATATTATTAAGCCTGCTACGGTCCTAATAACATATACTTCCTGTTCCCACAGCAACTGATTAAGTAGGACCCATGATCGGTCCAAGGCCCACTCTCTGTCTCCCACGATGACTACTTGTGGTTAGACTCACACAAGGAAAACGCAGTTTGAATCCCCAGATGATTGCAGACATTTTTAATCTTTTATTTAAGACTTCTTTCTCCATGTTCCAAACTTGCATCATCCACACTGGGATGTTACATCTAACATTATATTGCAGCTGTTTGAGTTCCCACCCAGACCTCAAAGATAGTTATTAACCAACGTGACTCTGGGCTTCTTGAAAAGAGCCTGGTAACCACAGGGCAAAGCGAGTGACAGGAAAGGAATCTTGGTGTGGTTTGTTGATGTTATTTTTGGAGCCTCAAAATGAGAATCTAGTGTTTTGTTTTGTTTTCTTTGCAGTCCAAATGACCCAGAGGATTTTTTTTTCTTTTTTGGCTGCATATTTTCAGAGCTGCTTTTCACGTACATTTAAAAAAAGAGCGTTTTTTTTTTTTTTTTAACTCTTTAGGGAAGGCTTAAAAAAAGTTGCTATGAAATTGACTCAAAGCAGTCTTTGTATTTTCAAGGACTTAAAATGACTCAGTTATGGGAGGGAAAATATTTTTTTCTGTTTTCTTCTGTGCAAATGTCACTAACATTTTCCTGCATGGGCAAACACACAGTGTTCTTAATGCCAATGATCTATACTGCCTTATTTTGTCTAATAATAAACTATACCAGCAAGGAATGCAGAGTCGTTTCCTCTGGCGTAGCGCTGCCCACCACTCCTCAGATTTAAACACTGGGGGTGTTGAGGTGATTCTTGAATGGATCTTTCTTGTGTTACTGCTGTAGACTTGTGAAGTACCACTTTACATGGATATTAAAGTGGTCAGGCTTATGGTTACTGACGCATGGCCTTTACTAAGAACTCTTAAGTTAATAGATGTTTGTATAACAGGACTTGTGGTTTAACTTAGATTTGTCAGTGCTTAGCATCAGCATCATGATCTTTTCCGGAAACACAATTCGTACCGTTAGCTCATTTGTACATTTTTCAAAGCAAAGAGTAATCCTTCTGGGAGGGTATATTTGATTTCTTTTGTCTTTTTGTAACTCATTGTAATCATAAAAATAGTGTATGATTTAAAGAGAACACAAAAAAATACAGAAAAAGTTCAATTGCATTTTGCTAGAATTTTGTTATTTTCTGAGAAGAAAAAAAGTAAAGTACATGTGTGCAATAATCAAATTTGAGGAAAGATGGAGTGATATTTTTTTTTTTCCATGAACACATGGGATAAAGTCTTGTGCAGTTTATTTGAAAACCATTCTCAATGTGTCCTGCATTTACTTCTATGATAAAAAACTTAACGCTACATTTTTACCGTTCTATGTAAACTTTAGCATCTCAGCCACTATACATATTTAGTGTATGCTTCAAATACTACTAGCATTCTGAATATACATATCTAAACCTTCCAACATAATGTCCAACAAGCAGTTCTTTGCCATTGTGATATTGCA